AAAAACTGAAATTCGCCGTTTTTTCGAAAAAATCTCTCATTTTTGAAAACACCGTTATATCTCGTTTCGGTCTGGTTCTGGAGCCTTGAAAAACTGTTTTCTTGTTCAGCGTCGAAAACTGCATACAGAAAACTATATTTCAAGGTTCCAGTGCGAATAGAAGTGTTCCGGAATTGCGCAAAGTTGAAAGGGGTTAATTTTCCTGACTCTCAGTCGCAAACCTATCTCCGTTTTTCCTTAAAAGATGGAACCTTGAATTTGGCGCCATTCGATCTGCCTTGAAGCGTAGAACAAAGATAATTATCCTTTTTTTGAAATTCTTCTCCGTTGCAGAAAATGTTCATTTCTTCTAAATCAGGGCCCAAAAAGTCAGAATTCTGCTCCTAATTCTCAATTTTCTCTATCAGAAATCAATTTTTATGCAATAGAATATCATATTCGGAATCAGGATCAAAAACTGAGTCGACTGATGTGTATTTCTATCCTATCCGACTACTTTAGTTTTTGTCAAATTTTCACGTTGAAAAATTATCAAGATAAAAAATGAAAATCAACTAAAAATGCCGAAATGAGTATCAACATCATTTCAAAAATCTTTCATTTACTTTTCCCATAAATGTATACCTTTAAATAATTTATAAGTAGCTAAAATTAAAATTTCTTTTCTAATTGATTTCGATTGTATGTTAACTATCGTGAGTTCAGTTTCAAAGATAATGTTTTGTTGAAATAAAAGAAAATTTATATGTTCAGAAAAAAAACTTAATCGATATTTAAAAAGCAGTCAGTATTTTTGTGAAAAAGTAGAAGATGAACTCGCTTTTTTAGCATTGTCTATCATTCGTATAAGTATACATTGTTAATTTGTTTCAGTCGATTGTCTTTCCAGCACCATAATTGATTTAACGCCAATTTATTTCATCGTATTTACAGTTAAGAATGAAAGATGCTTATTCAAACAATATTCAGTACTGGATTAGAAAATTCTTTGGTTTATTAAGCATTAGTGGAAATCACACACAAACAAACCTAACATTGATAAGAAATAAAAAACATAGTCATTCTCTTCAATAATAAAAAAATGCAAAAATTTACTAAAAAATAATTTTTCTCATATTATTTCAATAGTATATTATATCTATATACATATACAGGCTTCTAAATACACTGTCTTTTGTTCATGGCACAATTTTTGAGGTATAAATATGAGGACAGTAAAATAAAAACAATAGACAAAACAAGCAAAAATACAAAACAAAAATAATCATTCATTGAATGAGATCGTTATATCTGATGAGCGAGAATTAATGACTATCTGATTAAAGTAAGACTAAATTTTTGGCAAGAAAAATTAAAGCATGCTTGTTTCTATCAATTTGATGTCATTAAATGCTCTAATAGATTATCAAGACCAGTTACTAATGTCAAAAACTGAGCCAATGTCGATATGTTTCCTTGAGATGCTAACGGTGAACCACTAGAAAAAAAGAATAAATCTACGTGCAATCTTTTAACTCCACACTAACTAATTGAGGTTTAGATTTTTCTTATAAAACATTGGAAAAACATGGATTTTGTCTAAAAAGTTTTCAACATCTAAAGAGATATGCCTTGTTTCACTAGGCTACCTTTTGATAACATACCTGAAACTATGAATCGATGGTGCCGAGGATCGTGAAGGCACTAATGAATCACATTTTTCTTTCAATAGTGAATAATAAAACTCAGGTGCCTAAAATGATAATTTCAAAAATGAAAAAAGAACAAATATTAATAACTAGTTTACTTTTAATTTGATTTCTATTAGTTTAGTCAATTTTGCACCGTCAACATCTACAAATATTTTCTGATATCTAAATGCAAGGAACAAAATAATTCATGCATAAAAATAAAAAGTTTATAACTGACCGTTCTAAACCCATTTCATTTAATTTTGCAGAAACCTCGTTTGCTGACCATTGTTTCCAACTGGAAGATGCTTCTGCTGTTGCAGTTGTACTTTTTTCCAATTTAATATTTGAAAAACCCTTTGCTAATTTTTCAACGGTATTCGTAGTATTTGAAGAAAGAGCAGGAACAATTGGTTCTTTAACAGGTGACTCAATAGGAAGAGGTTTAGCGGAGCCTAAAAATAACAGAAAATGGATTTTAACATATCAGTAAGAGAAGCAAATTTTTACCTCTTCTTCTTTGTTCATCATCAGCAGCCGTTTCGGTATTCGCTTTTACTTCTGCCAACATTTCTTTATACGCAATATCAAATGTTTTTTTGGCAAAGTTAATATACAATTTTTGTCCTAAAATAATTCCTAACCATCCTGTCGGTTTCCAATTAGCTTGTGCTATTAGTGGAACAATTTTTTTATTCTTTTGTATAGCATATTCTGCTTCAAGACGACAACTTGGACTATCTTTATATTTTTCGGTAAAACACATAATAATAACCATTGCTTGTTCAATTGCTTGTCTAAAACATTCATAAATTCTATACGTTATTATGAATCTTGATATGTTCACACACACTTTTGAATGAAAAAAGTTAATACTATCATCAAATCACCAGTATTGATATATAAAATGATCGTATAATAAAAAAAGAAAACAACTCACGCCATAGCATCTAATAAATTTATATGCATATTTTCAAAATCAATCCAAACTGAATAACCATCACTAATTAAACGTTCTTTGATTTTTTGTGATAAAGCTTTTGTATCATGATTATAACTAATCATAACGTGTTTTTGAGAAGCGGATGATGGTGGAGATGTTGCTTTCTTCTTTTTTATATTACCCATAATTGTCCATAGACAACCACTCACAATACGTCTTAATTCATCATTGGGCGTTGTTTCATTAATTGTACATAATAATTCTTTTAATTCTTTATTATCATAACATTTGAGACGTATAGATTCATCAAAAGATAAACTCCATACCAATGTGCTAGCTGAACATTGCTCTTCAAAATTTTGTTGTTTTAACATATCTATTATACATGACAATGTTGTATCCGAATAAATCTATAATAAATAAATAAGAATAAGAATTATATCATAATTAGAGTATCCAGTGTTTTCTTACTGTCATCTTATTCTTATCACACACAGACAACTTGGATAAACCGTTGCACAATTCTGTCGTTCTCAAGCCATTATAGCGACGATCTTTTGCAACTGTTGCTTCACGAAGGGCATTAAGTACAAAGGATATTGCATCTAAAAAATACCACAGCATTCTTTTGTTTATCAAATGCAAATGCAGTATAAAAAAAAACAAGTAAATTATCTTAGTACAATAATAGACTTTTCGTGCATATCTTTCCCTAAAACATTTGATAAGCTGAGCATACTGTTCTCTTATATAAACTAGTTCATATGACTTAACTGAGCAAAGAGACTTCTATGATAAATTAGTTATAAAATAGGTGAAAATAGTCTAATACTTCATTACTTACGTTCGGCATTTTCCAAAAACGTTCTTTCGTCTTCGGTGATTATGTAAGATAATGTTAAATATGATAATGCTCTAATAAAGTCATGAGACGTGTCTGATGTCAATTTTTTCAATATCTAAAACAAAACAAACAAATTTATATTATATTCATTTTTTTATTTACACTTTCTTACTTCCACACAGTTGTGTTTTTGTAAATCTAATTTGAGTTCTGAAATTTGTGCTAAATTATGAAGTATACTGATAGAACATTTGAATAACGTAAGAACAGCCTAAAGTAAAATGAGTGAAACGAAGTCATTAATTATACGAGATACACTTAACACTTACTTGACTTGTTTTTGTAGCGCTAGTAAATTTCTCTTTTTTAAGATTTTGTAGAATAAGAGGTAAAAAATCAGCGTCTACGACCGCCTATTAAGTGGAGAAAAACGATAGTGATGTATGTTTTGTTTTTCCAAATGTTCGGTCATTAATACACACCTGACACATAGCTGGTGATTTTTCGGTGTAATTCCATAACGAGTGAAGAATATAGTACACAGTATGCCAAATATTGTCTGTTTGAAATACATCATTTATACAATATTTAAATAATGGTTGACACAAAGCTAAACTCAGAAAAATAAATCACTATTATCGAAAATACTTTTTATTCTCGTTGATATACCGGCATATCTTCTTCTAACTAAAGCATCGTTAATTATTCGATAAGATTGTTGAAATGCATACAAGTGATCAAAATATTTTAAAATACTTATTGAACTTTCTGTGCCATAATCGTGTTTTGTTAAACGACTTAATTCATTTAATTTTTCATTCAACTACGTGAATAATAAAACAATAAAGTGAACGAGATGTAAAAGTAGTTAGCACCTCACCTGTACAGTATCAACTACGTCACTTGTCATTAGTCAGAAACAAATAATACGAAAACAAATCTAAAGGTATTGAAGTATAGGTGATTATTATTTATTATTTCCGTTATATATCTAACGTTGATTATCGGACTCTACAACTTTGTTATGAAATAAATAAAAAACAATTATTAAGTTTCATAAAGTGTCGACTTCCTAAAACTAAAAAAAATTATTTATATTACCACATTGTGCCTGTTTACACGCTTATCCGTGAAAATAAAAACAAAACGAACATCTGATTATTTGGTTGCATAAACAACTGATCGGATGCAAAAAACATATCATTTAGTAGATAGGATGTGGCTAAAATTCTCTAATGGATATGTAAAGTCTGTCGTTTACAACCAGCTAATTTACAATGGATAGTTAACGTAACCGTTTTTGATCACCTACGTGATGTCATAGTATACATGTTTTTCTCAACATCTTCACGTTGAACTCAATGTGTTCAATATGACATTGTAAGTAACCAACATTATTAATGTGGTCTTTTGTGTCAGTACGTGCGAGATATATTCAAATGTGAACCGCAAAAAAAAGATACTAGAATTTATGACTTTAGACAACATCCAATAAAAACTTCTCTGTACGGTATAAGTAGATGTGCAAGCAGATTTTTCTGTTATATACCTTTTTTAACTTAATGTTAAAATTAGCCTCAGCTGATCTCTACACTGTCCCAGAAAAGCACGGTAAAAGTACGCTGGCGGCATGGAACCAATGTGTCGATGGGACGGTAAAAGACTAACTGGCATGCTTCAGCCATGCCATTGAGACACTTCGACCTTGCCGTTAGGAGAAATGTGCTGTTGGAACGCTTTTAGCATGACGTTCGTGGCACGCTTTGTGTATGATAAAAAAACAGTTTACTCTCACAAAAGTGTGGTACAAACAACTCAATCTGTAATATATATCAGAGATGAGCGAGTACACCGTTTTTCGACTACTAGTACCCACAGTGTTTTCGATAGTAGTTTTGATGGGGGGTGGCAAGCCTGCTGAGTAACTAAAGTTTTTTATTGAGTAATTAATTTTTTTTCTGAGTAACTGAGTTACTCAGAAGCAAGAGAAGATCACTTACTCAAGTGCATAAAAGGCAGTTTCTCAACTTAAATTTCTTAAAAACTTTGATTAAGTCAAAATTTTTTGAGTAACTGTATTCAAACGAGAGGGTGGTTTACCACCCCCTAATCGATAACACTGTACTGTACCCAGTACTTTAGGCCAGGGACGAGTACGAGTACAAAAAAGTTTTACTCAAGTATCAGAGACATTTAAAAAAAGTCATTTTATTTTTTAGCCACACGGAGTTTTGTGAGATTTGAACAATTGTTCCTAACATTTTTTTTCTTTTATATCATGAAATTTTAAGAGAAATCCTACATTTTTAAGGAAATGTATTAGAAGTTTCATCAGCATTTTTAAAATCAAATACTTAAGTATTTCTTCAAATTTTTCAAAAAAATCGCAAGTACAAGTACGAATACTCAAAAATTTGTACTTGAGTATGAGTAAATAGTGGTACTCGGCCATGTCTGATATGTATATCTTTAGATCCAAAATTCGGCAAAATCCACCATATTTTATCACATGTTATATTTATCTATTATGAACTTGTTTCACTTGGTTTTGACCGACTTACGTGTGTTTCAGACTGTTAAAACAAATCGAATCAGTTCCTGTTTATTAGACCATTTAGAATATAAGTGGTCGATAAAAACTGTATAGCTGCTACCTCCATATGGATTCTATTCCATCCATACGGACTCATCTTTGCCACAATCCCATAATAACAGAAAAATCAACCATTTTTCTCCGGTAGTTGTCTAAACTTATGACTAAGGGTGACTGAACTGTACTAATAAAAGTGTGCTTGTGCCATTTTAGTGGCTATACTTTTTATGTTATTATAGTAACACGCTTTTAGTGTACTAACCATACTTACTACACTAAAAACGTTGTGTCCTAAGTATAGTTTTCAGTTACACGCTTTTACTGTAATGATAATACACTTTAAATGCACCATTGGTCTTAAAGTGTGCATGTAGAACACTTTTTAGTAAAACGTGGAAGCGAATCACAAACAAAAAGCATATATACTTAAAATGTCTTTTGTTGTTATCTGAACGTGCCAGAAGCACGGAAAAAGTATGCTGTTTCTCCCGTATTGGAGATTGAAGGTTGAACATCGAATAGCACGCCTTTTTCATGCTATATATATTTTCAACACTTTTTACCGTTACCGTGCTTTTCCGTGATATTATCAATTGGTCGATAGAATAGCGGTTGTAAACCAATAAACTCAGAACTGTATTAATTGCGGTTGAACTAATGAAATGTTGCATTAGAATTGTATGACCGCATAGTAATTTGCGGTTAGAAAAACAGTAACAGTTATGATTGACGTTTTGAAGAAACGTTTTCTGCACACGTTTATCTTTAGAAATATGTGATTTCTGTTTACTTTGATTCGATCAGGTTTTTGTACAGTTCGAGTTAACCTATTGTATTGCACCTGTTAATTAGTCTGCTTAAATTATCCAACGGTACATTTATTATTCAAATTTGAAAAAAGAAATTTTTCGAATTTTTCTGTTTCTATTAGAACTAGTTCTTCCATATATTTAGATCACCAATGGCTCACGTGTGTCCATGGGCACAAGTTCTATCCCAATGGATGCAGCATCCGTTGGGAAGAATATTCCTTAGTGAGAAATATTAAAGAAGTTTTACATATTACTTCAACACAAAAGTAGAGTTCTTCCATTTCCATTTTACTACTTCTAAACCATGTTGTGTTCTGCTTAAAACATATGATTTCGTTGTTGTACCTATAATACGTACGCAATATGTTTCAGAATTACTGAATTGTTATAGAATACATCAGAGTCAATGGTCACGCTGTCTCAAAGGCGTTGGTGGAAGTGCTGGTAAGTCTGTGTACTTCTGAATAATCAAAGTATTCAGTCGCAATATTATTTTCTTAATTGTTGCAGAAAATGTGACAACATTGATTCACCCGATAGACTACGACGTGATTAAGCAAGTGAAGGAAGGTAAAATGAAATATAGAACAAAAACTTCTGGTTTTTGCAAACTTCTATGTTTTCTATATTACGTTTTTTTTATCTAGTTATTGATGGATGAACTGGGTATGGACACTATTTGTCCGTTCCTCGTGTTCTATTCGCATTCGAAATTGCAATGTTGTCAATTTGGGTCGTATAGCGTCCAGTACTTTGCGGTAACTTGTGCTTAACAAATTTTTCGTCGGCTAGAATTAGGCCCGTAACCTCGACTGTTTTAAAGTGATGTAGACTAAAATCAGTTAACAGTTATCTGAAGAATAAATAATAAATAAAATTAAGTTTTCCAGATAAAGAAAAGAAAATCGTTTTATTCCTTGTTTGTCAAGTATCTTCTTACTAACTGTTCCCTTTCATATCTTGCTCTTTATCGGTCATTTTTGTTTTAGTATTGGTTTGTATTTTCAACACGTGGTCGACAAAGATCAGATAGTACATCTTTTAAAATCGATGAAGACGATGAAACTCAATTAGAAACAGTGCTATGGTGGAATAAAATACAAAAATTGTGCCATTACCATCGAAAACTGCATCCTGTCCTTAGTGAGGGTTAAAAGTAGTGAGCGATCTATGCATATACACGCGTAGCCTTTTCCTCGAAAAACCCCATCATGCTAATATACTTTTTTATATTCGATGCATGTTTAGAATTATCAACAGATGTCTTGTCTGAAAAAGCACAAAAACGTTGGTTCGGCTAGCCAGTACGAACAATTATATTACCGAGAAGAATATTTTTGTAACTAAATCTCTTTTTTTGTAACTAGCAATCGTTTGTGGCTGACAGTAAAGAGCATGTTTTGTTAAACTCAAATGAGACGAAAAGAAGAAGTACCGTATGCCCAAGTTCATTAAATCGGTACGGAACCTGCGATTTTCGGTCGGATCCGTCTCAGAAAACACCGAAAATTGAGGACATTCGGCTGCCGGAAACACCAACCTGGGTAGTGATGAGAGAGATGCATAACCACAGGGTAATGTTAAACCTCATGCTCAGTAAATAGACATCAATGAAGGATAGGCCACTGCCATTTATTTATCAAATTTGCTTTAACTTGGTTTGTTTCATAATATACTCCACTTTCATGTTGTCATTGTATTGATCGTGTTTTTTTCAATATCCTTCGATAATATTGGGGCATGTCTCTCTTTCGATGATGGGGAGAAAAGTTAAAATGTTTTTCTTTCAAATAAAATAGCTTATAACAATATACTCCACGTCCAGTGCAAAGTTATTACATTGGTAAAGATTAAAAGTCCTGCATCAACTCCAAATAGAGATAACGGGAGAAAGTCTAGTGAATTATTCAACTAAACAGATTCTTAGCATTCAAAATTCTGAAATGTATATATATCTTGATTTAGGTTTTGATACACCTTTTCTCGGGCAACTAGGAAGCATATGAGAAGTAAAAAGGTATGAAAAATGAATCTTTAGGGGTCAAATTCATTGAAATGCTTTTCAGAAATTTTAATTCAAAACAGACTTTTTACTTAATACTCTTTGTTTCATGATTTATGCACAAATCAAATTTTTATTTTCTATTCTAATGCTTCCAGTACATACATGTTAGAAATAAGCAGAAATATTTTGAGATATGAAAAAGAAATTTTGAGATTTTTTCAATTAAAGAAAAAAGCTGTGCAAAATTCACACCCAAAACATTCTACTCCTTTCTCACCAAGCCACCATTACGACCGTCGGCAGCATTATTGGTATCAGATTTTCTTCAAATAACGGACTAAGCTGAGACTTGGGACAATGCTTATTCACAAAACAAGTGTTTTTTTGGGTTTTTCTAGTCAAAACAAAACGAATAGTCGTTTAAACTAGTAGAGTATTTTCATGGAGTGTCTATTAAGTTATGCAGGATTATCTCCTTACAACCTGACAATTTCGAATCTGTGACATCTTAACGAGATATGAATATTAGCATATACTGAAACTCTAACTACCTACTCAAGTCAACTTTCTTGCTCTAGCCGCGATGCGAGTCGCTATAAAAACCTCAGTGCGATCGGTAACGAATCGTGGTAAGGCTCACGTAATCAGACGCGATTTTATAATTGTGGTTTTGTCGAGCTGTAACAGTAATATGCCAAATGACATTTTCGTTTATCATAGTGCGACTTTCCAATGTATTCGCTATATTGTCGAATCGTTTAAGTCTAACTGTCGCTCCTTCCCAATGTTGTGTCTTGTCATTCGTTATTTCTAGTTAGAAACGTTATATAGATATATCCATTTTTGACTATTTATTTGTTTTCATTTACTGTTTTTTTTTATTAGATGTTTCTTGCTTCACAAGACCCTACTCAAGAAATACAATGGAACACATTGCGTCTTGATTTTACATTTTTAGATGTCCTTGTTTTTTATTCTTCTCAAAATCAAAAGATTATACCAACGTCATTTACTACTTATACCAATGTCGTATATAATGGGTGTTACAGAAAGAATAGCGTAGTTTTTATTTTCAGTTTTTCTTCTCTCCCTTTGAACTCACAGAACTCATCTTATTACCAAAAGATTCCCCAGTCATTTCTCTACAAAATGGTGTGTAGAAGATGATCATAAGGTTTGGAACGCTGTCTTAATTGAACAAACATCGAAATGTCCGAAAAACTTAGAATAATTAACGCAAAAAAGTATATTTCGTCAGTATGAAGCTGAACGTGTGAGTTGTGTCTAGAGCAAGTAGGCCAAAATGTAGCCCTTAAAAGTCTCCACAGATTAGCTATAATGCGGATTTTCTATCGTTATTTCCATGCTTTCAGTAATGATTTTTGCAAACAACCCTATGACCGTTTTTTCAGCTTTTTCAACCTGCATTTTGTACTGAATGACTTGTATACTAAATGACATTGGTATGGTATAATCTTTGATTTTGAGAAGAATAAAAAACAAGGACATCTAAAAATGTAAAATCAAGACGCAATGTGTTCCATTGTATTTCTTGAGTAGGGTCTTGAAGCAAGAAACATCTGAGGAAAAAAACAGTAAATGCTATTCAGAATAATTTAGACACTTAGACTCTAACGGGCACCAGACTTCACAGACAAAAGTTAAAAATAATAAGTACTAGATTTGTTACGATCACACTTTTTCTCGTTAGTTTTAGAATTTCTGCTCGTTTTTTATAGATAAATGTCAAATTTTTCATTTGTTACTAACTTTTGTGTTTTACACGAAGTTATATTCGGAAATATCTATAAAAAAAAACAACATTTTTGACATCTTAGATAAATCGTTACAACAGCATAATAAACAAGTTATGTGTATATATAATAGTACATAAAAAATTTCAAAAAGAAAGTACTTATATAAAAGAAATGGCAATAGCCTTGACGAATTAAACTTCCAAAACCGACAGGAGTGTACGGATGGCGTAAATAATAAATAGAACAAAATTTTAAATTAACTTAGTAGCAGACAACATGGCTTCTTAATTAGGAATATAACTGAATGAAGAAGACACACTGTATTTTTTTTCTAACAGACCAGTAAATATAACGCAAAAATATATAGTACAAAATAATTCGGATGATTTCTCTCTCTCACACGTATACACAGTCTGAACACTTTGGATTGTATTTAACATGGCAAAAAATATCACTTCTAAAGTTTGACAAAGTTAAAAGCGAATTCTTATTAGTGAGAGAGACGCGTCATTATCACGTTTTATCTGTCATTATTGTTTAGATACACATTCTTTAAGAATTCAATTATATCCTAGATGATAGTTATATTTTTTTTTAAATATATTTCTTGAGGCTGGTAACGCTCAGCACAATTGTATGGAAAGAATTATAGATTCTTGTAGCAGTGTACACTACTCAATTTCTGGAATAATTAATCCAGTTTTATAGTTAAAGAAAAAAATTTAATTAACATTCATCTTTTAAATTTATGATATGTTACAACCTCTCTGTTCTTCATTGATAAGAGCGCTACTGTTCCAATCTTTGATTTAGTCTTTATTGCAGTAAACTTCAAGTGTAGTATTATTTTGACCTATAAAAATGAACATGAATATTGTCAAGTAGCTATAGCGATCTGACTGAGTCATCATCATTGGTTGAAAAGACACATTTTAGGGTAACTAGAACCTTCCAGCTGATCTTTCATGCGTCTTTATTTACTTTAGTAAATAACAAATTAAATGCGTGCACATTTATTCTAGAACAGCAATTGCTTAACATTCAAGACGTACAGCCTAAACACAAACTCAAAAAATAATGATTATATGCTAAACGAAGTAATTATATAATAACTTGTCGACGTATAAGATAATTTACAACTCCTACATAGTCTCAGAAATGCTTCTAAATTAACCTTAGTAAAGAAATGATAAACTAGGCCTAGTAAAAAAATTTCTCTTTTATTTAGTCTACCGAAATAGAGTACCTTTTAAGTGTGACCTCTATTATTATCAGATTTTTCTTTTTAGCAACACAAGTAATTAAATGAATGTGCAAGAAACATAGATAGAATCTCTTTTTTTCTTAAGCGCAAATGTTCTTTCACAATTAGTCAAGATTTACGTACAGAATGGATCTATAGAGGATCTAGTTTGTAGAACTTAAATGGACATTAAAGTTATGCTAACAGAAAGTATTGCTAGGTTATTTTGACCTGCTTAACAGCTGTTTCATTTGTATGTATATTTGACTTTATATTACACACTTTTTTTTGATCACCATCAATATAACCTGGGGAGGTAAAAAGAGAAATAAATAAGAAAACAACAAAAAAATATTTTTAGATTTTTTTTATGCAAGATTTTTACTTTTTCCCCTCCTATCCCTTATAGATTAGTTTCACTTTACGATCGCTCAACAAGCATGTCCTATATATTTTTATTTTTCCCTATTTCATTTATGTAGTTTGGCCCAAGTCATTGATATTATAGATCGAGGGCATTTGATGACTCTCACTTTTCGTAGATAAACTAGTCTTAATCTTATGCCTACCTATAGGATTACTGTAGTAATATTTAATACATATGGATAATTCTAATTTTTTGTCTGTTTCGAATGAACCACCCAATATTACGATCTATCAGGTCGACAAAGATAATGAAAGGAGAAGAAATATGAAAAAATAATTATTTGTTATCGACACATTGTAAACTCGTAGTGATTAAAACGTAGGTAGGTTTCAACCTGAACGGTTTTTGTTTATAGACTATTTAATACCTTTCTTTACTTGAAGGTACAATATTAGGATGTTTATCATCATGTAAATCGTATTTAACTTTCAAACGTCCTGAAAAATATTTAAATGACGTTTCTACACATTGTATCTTTTTTTTTGCAGTTCGAAACTAAAACTGTATTAATCTTGCTAATTTGTGGTTACTTCAAAATATATGAGGAGTGAAACTAGCATTGTCAAGTAAGAAAAGACGCTTGATTAACTGCTTTTGCGTGTAGTTTCTTTTTATTACTAAAAGACAGCAAAGAAAAACTTTTTTCTATATATTCGATGTGACGTTTTTTGTTTTTCAGAACATTTAAAAAACACCTGTTTTTCTTACTGCTCTAATCTTTTAATTTACATATCTCATTACATGTACATGTCTGACTTGGATTTTGAATTGGTTGATGACTCTGCTGGTGAGATGTCCATCAGAGAATTACTTCAATCATCTTCATTTCGTTTTACTTCAAGTGGAGCAATAATAGATCCACTTTTAACAGGGTATGTTGCAACTAGCACCTTTTTCTGACTGTAATTTTCATGCTTTTCTGTTTTAGTAATAACAAACGAAGTTCTCCACGACAAGATGAACAACAGCGTGTTCAACAAGTTCGTACACAGTTAATGAAACAATATGTAAGAAAAGACGATTAGACACCTGAGAAAACCGTCCAATACTTTGTGTTTTTTTTTTAATTTAGGAAGATGAAAAACGTACATCGTCAAATTCTACCGGTACCAGCTCGTCTCCACTTTCTTATTCAAGCCGTTTATCATCTTCAACGGAAAGCAGTCCTATACGTCCACCTTTATTACGAAATCAGAATAGTACACCGACAGCAACCGTTCTTCCATCTTCTACTTCTTCTACCAGTATACAACAATCTCCACCAACAAAACAGCTCGATTCCGTGTCATTATTACTTAAACAAACCATTGTACCATCACAAACATATCAAGTATATCGGTTATTCTAAATATGTTGCGTGTCTGTTGTTTTGATTTTTTTTGAAGATACAAACACGATTGGAAAATCCGACACAATATCATTTGGAGCAAATGTGTCGCAAACAATTAACTAATGGAAACGAGTCATTGCCGGTAAGTAGAAGTGATTTTTTTTAATGATACTTCTTATGACATCACTCTTTCTAGTTACAACAACAACCACCACAACGTCAGTTATCATCTATAAATCAAATATTACAGGATGTCTCATCACCAGAAAGTGAACGAAATTCTGAAGTAATGCTGAGGTTTTATAGAAAATGTAAATTCAAAAAATAAATAATTTTTTTCTGTAGATGGATGATCAACTAAACGATGACACAACATGTGGTAGTGTAGAAAGTACAACACCATCCATTGATATAACACCTCGGGTAACTATAGTCTTTCTAATAACACTGATAAAAACTGCACTTTCATCTTTTGCAAGAGGCTGACAGTTTATTGTCCTTTACCTAATGTGAAAGAGAAAAGACTATTTATATCGACAGAACGATATTGATCTTGGTTGGAAATCGATATACAATTTTTGGTATAGTAAGATCACTTCTCTACATATTCTAGTTATCGACGACTCTCGTTGATGATCATGTATCAAACTATCTTTCATCACCGGCATCAAAAGAGGACATAACACGGCATTCATCATCGTGCCCAACAAATATGTTACGTGCTAAGGCACAAATTGGTTTACCGTTGACTGATGAAGAAATGCGTCTTGTTATACGTGATAGACAAAAGAAAGATAATCATAATATGAGTAAGTTATGTCATATGAAAAGTATTGGTTGATTGATTCTCCCTTCTTTTTATTTCAAAGTTGAACGTAGACGTCGATTCAATATAAACGATAGAATAAAAGAATTGGGCACATTACTTCCAAAGGGCACAGAACAGGATATTAAACAAAACAAAGGGACAATTTTACGAGCGAGCGTTGATTATATTAAAATATTACGTCGTGAATATGAAAATGCGCGTTTAATTGAAGAAAAGTATCGAATGTTATCAGAACAGAATAAATCGTTACAAGATCGTGTCCAAGTAGGTTACTTTTGTACTTCTCATATCCGCGCACGGATAGGGCACATTTGGATGCATATTTGGAAGATTATTAAACAGAAAAAGTCACACTTCGGCTCTTTATTCTAAGAGTAACTATAGAAAATGAACAAACATATTAGTCATTGTCTTTGTTCTGAGAAATAAATGGCTGTCCAAGATGCTATTGAAAAACATTTAATCATTCTCTTAACATAAAAAGCTCATCACTATCTTGATATGCATTCGTTTCAGGACCTAGAACAAGCATGTCTAGTAAATGGTTTTAACATTAGTCCATCGAACAGTAAATCAATTAACAATAATAGTAATATTAAACAAGAACCATCATCTTTGCCATCATCTGTTGGCGTTTTATCATCGTCCTATAATCAACTATTAGCACCGCCATCGACGCCGATTTTACTTGACTATCAACATCATTTAGATAATATTTCATTTTGTGGTAATGCAGATGACAGCAATGAAGATCCACTTCCCATAGATCCTCTTCTCTCGTCTACCTCGTCGTTCAATTACGGTGAAAATGATATGGATACTGGTATGGGTTTTTAATTCTTTGTTTGTGTATGTGTGCGACATGTGAGTAACTTAGAAAAATAAAATGAAGCATTCATTATTCTATATTTGAATTTTTTTCTGTCCTTCTTTTATTAGATACGCAGTCCTATTGCATATTTTTTACTCACCACTTTTGCTCAATATTTTTCATATTGCAAACGAAAGTTAAAAGGGATTTGAGCTCAATTTTTTTGAACTCAGGCAATGTTATTTGATTTATTTTTGCGATGACATTTTATTGATGTATGTATGTTTGTTTTCCTTGTGCAATGAAATCACTTTAAATAACTGTACAAATTATATCTCGTCTATTTTTGTTTGAGCAACCGTTTCTTTGCTTTTTATCCTTGTTTGACTTTTAAAGTGTACCGTTTTAGATACGCGAAGAAAGCACATACACACACTTTACAAATTTTTATCTTTTCGAAGTTGCACTATTTTTTGTTTTTTTGTTTCTCTTCTGGTATTTTACACTTCTTGTATACACGATGTTGCATTATTTTTTAACTTTGCTATTTGAATGTATATGCGGGTTTCTTTTATATCATTGTTGTTGTTTGTTTTTGTGTATGTGAATGATGTGGTGCTGCTAATACAGATTAGCTGATGATATATATAGTTACTTTGTACAAATTTTCAAAAATGTATATTTGTATTTTCAATCAAACTATTCAGTTTATCTATTAATTATCTTGTACGTATTTTTAAATTAGAAGAAGTTTAATTTGCATGTATCAGACAATGTCTTAGAGTGATAATCTGCATTTTACCAAAAGTTCATATTATCCTTTAAAAAAAACTCTTCGTTTCAGTTAGATGCCAAGATACTGGCAAAACGTTCGTTTTTGCCAAGTCGAGTGCCTTACGTGTACAGATACCATAGAGTTATTTTACTGTTATTTGACAATTGTCTAAATTTTTATAGCTCCCTTTACCAGTATTTCTATTCGATAATATATTAGTTTTTTTCTTATCTCCATCTATTTCTTCACGAGTATTAAAGCTATCAGTATGTATCGAATCGAAAATGTACATTGAATTTTCCTTTTTTACTCATTGTAAACTGTAGACATACTTTTTTTTTAATATTGTAAGCGTGCTCTACATATGTGAAGTGAACAGTTGTCATATTTATATACTTGCTTTTTGTTATTATTATTTACATGTATTTATTCTCTTATTACTACTCCTATTTACATAAATAAATAAAGCAGCATGATTTAAATAAATATGTCTGACCGATGCAACAAAAATGAAAGACAATGAATTGAATAACAAAAAATATATTATTGGCTCAGAAATGTCGATATAAAAACTGTAAAATCTAAATTCCATGTTGCATGCCACCATCGATTTGGAAAATAGATAATATCACCTGGATTCAATATGCATTCATAATATTTAATGGTATTCTTATTTCGTTGTTTTTGTTGTCTTTCTTTCACTATCCATTCACCTGTAGTCTCGTTTGGATTAAAATTTGGTTTTTCTAGTGGTTTGGAGAGAATCCAATGTTTTCTCCCTTGAATAATTTGCTGAAAACCTGGACCATGAAAATGAAATGGTACTCCTGTATTTTGTGCAGCTATTCCAAAACTATAGGACGGTTTAGTAAAATCTCCAACAGTGTATGGAATAGAATTATAGTGTTTGAGAATTTGATTTAACCATTTATCATTATGATGACCCCCAAACCAATATAATGTTTCATTTCCTAATGTATTTTTGTTTGGTTTTTGTTGCAAATTAATATAATCACGCAAACTCATCGACACTTTCTCGTACGAATAAGTATTCGCTGTACTTAATGTAATCAATTTATGTCCGTACTTATTGACCATATAATCAATTTCAATATTATCCGAAAACTTTCTGTTAATTGGCATATGACGAAATACAATCGGTTTATCAGGATTCTGAAGATCATTTGGCATGAACGAAAACACTTGGTCAATATTACAAATAGTTGACGAATAAACAATGATTGTAAACAAATTATACGATAAAAATAAGTTTAAAAGAAAATTGGATAATATATAAATATCCATTTGAAAGAGTTTTCAATCCATTTTAATAGTTATGCGAACCTAAAAAACCTTTAAAACTTTCGATTACAAGCATGATTTTAGAAAGTATTTTTCTCAGAAGATGTTAGGTGTTTTCAATAGTATTTTCATCACCTTAGGTTTTTTAACTTTTGAAAATAGGTTATATAAAACATCTTCATCAAATTTATGAAGCTTATGCAAAAAAGAGAGCAGAGCCTTGTTGAACAAGATAATTAACAGCTTCCTTTCAAAGGAGTTTCCCTTTCACCGCTGGTCGACTTTCTAGTTCTGTTTCCTACAAGATTCTTGTCTTTTATGGCTTAAGCCAAGAATCTTGAACAGAAAGAATGCATATTTTGCATATTTTACGCATATTTTTATATAAATACGAGGAGCGAGCGCTTCTAATGTCAATCTAGACACATATACAGACTCTATTGTCTCTCGACAAGAATTTCTATGGATACCTACGTTTGAATATTGTGCGTTATACATAACACAAGAAAACAAGTTGACAATTTTATCATCAACAAATCTTGCGATCTCATAACAAGAATCTTTTACGAAAAAAATATGAAAAATCAATAACAAATTCAAAGATTCTTTTCTGAAATGGCAAGAAGTAAGAACCTTACAAGAAGATCGACAAGAAAGTAAACAAACATAAAAAATTCCTTTTGGTTTTTTTTCTGCTAATAGAATTGCGACAACTAGCTGTAGCTAGCTCTACAGAGATTTCTTTTTTATATTGTTTTTTTCTTTCTTTCTTACTCTGTGGATTCAACATTGCTGTAGAGTAAAAGAAACTACCCCTTATTTCCTTTGGTGTTCGTATTTCATTCAGCATTTCGTCTATACACTTGAAAAACTAACACAGTACATGCAATTTATATTTCTACGAAAAGATCCATGAGTGTCATTACGTGAGAGGATAAACCAAGAGAACTTCTGTGTTTACAAGCTGCAAAAATCACTGAAAAGACTCCTCGCAAACTTTTCTTCACCAGAATTTTAACATACTGGACAGGATGGTTAAAGTCGATCTTGCTCTGCGACTCTAAGAAACGAGATGTTTCTTTAATGCACGTTTAAAAGCTCGAGCACTAAAGGCAGCAATCACTTCTCTTGGTAATTGATTCCACTCTTTTATAGTTTTTGGTAAAAATGAAGATCTAGTAGTTTTACGTTTTAACA